CAGCTTTACTATCACAGAACAGGCGAGCAGGAGCGGATTGGTCGATGCCTAATTCTCTTAATAATTTTCGTAACCACTTTATTTCCCGAAGAGCAACAGACATAGCTCTATATTCGGCTTCTGCAGAAGAATGAGAAACAGTTTCTTGCTTCTTTGTCTTCCATGAAATAGGCGAACCACCAAGCAACACAACATAAGCACTAAGAGACCGTCTAGTCAAAGGACACGATTGAAAATCAGAATCACAATAAACTTCAAGTGTTAAATCGGAATCTGCTTTTAGCATAATGCCTTGACCTAGAGAGCCCTTCAAAAAACGAACAATGCGTATCGCATCTTGCAAATGAGACTCCTGAGGTGCTTGCATAAATTGTTACAAGACATGGACTGAGTAACTCAACTCAGGCCGAGTATGAAGAAGATAGAGTAGGCGACCAACGAGGCGCCGGTATGGCTTGGGATCCAGAAGCAACGGACCATCATCGGAGGCAAGATAATGATTTTGTTCCAAAGGTGTATGAGCAGGACGAGAACCAAGATTACCACTATCCGATATAATGTCAAGAGCATACTTGCGCTGAGATAAGAAAATGCCATCAGGGCCACGACTTACTTCAATTCCCAAAAAATATTTAAGCTTCCCCAAATCTTTCATGGAGAAAGAACGACCCAAATATTCCTTGAACTTTTGAATCATATACCCATTGTTACCACAAATCACGAGGTCGTCAACATAAATCAACACGCAAAGTTCAATTCCGTTGCGTGTATATGAGAAGAGAGAGTGATCCTCGTAAGCTTGGAAAAAACCAAAACGTAAGAAAGCGTCAGATAACTTTTTAAACCAACACCGAGGAGCTTGTTTCAAGCCATACAACGACTTGCGAAGACGACAAACTTTGTCAGGAAATGAATGACGAAACCCAGGAGGCAGCTTCATATAAACCTCCTCTTCTAGATCACCATGAAGGAAGGCATTATTGACATCCATTTGATATACCTCCCATTGATTTGCAGCAACGAGACGAAGAAGAGTACGAACCGTTGTCATTTTTACCACTGGCGCAAATGTTTCATTGTAATCCTCTCCTTCAACTTGTTTATTTCCTTGAACATCTAGACGAGCTTTGTATCTCTCAATGGAACCATCAGCATTGTACTTGGTCTTGTAGACCCAATAGCTACTTTTCCTGGTGGCAAATCCACTATATCCCATGTCTTATTAATTTCTAATGCATCAACTTCTTTAAACATTGCATCATTCCACACCTTTATTTGAACAGCCTCTTTAAAATGCTTGGGCTCAACATTTGCAGTGATTGCAGCGAGATAGGCTTTATGACCTGTGGAAAAATATTCATCGGAGATATAGTCCGTCAAAGGATAGTGTGAGTTACCTGGGAGCGGTGTCGAGGACTGAGAAGTGGAGGTGAGGAGAGCGTGATGGGTGTCCGGAGTGGCAGTAGTATTGTACAAGACATAGTCTTTCAACCGTACAGGTTGTATGACTTGACGTTTTCCTTGACGCGGAGGAGTTTTCTCAACAAATGGAGAAGAAGCCGCAGATAACGGAGAGGACTTGGATGACGAAGAGACTAACAGAGTTTTAGCCGGAGACTCATCCGTATTACTTGGAGATGGGATGGTTTCTTGTGGCGGAGAAGCAGGCTCTGTAATTGTATTCGGAACAGAGTCCAAAACAGAGCTATCGCCGGAGGTAACAGTCAGGGCAACACTTGTTGCTGCGTCATCATCGGCGGTTGGTGCTGTGAGAGATTCAGAGGAAGCACCTGTTACAGCCCCGGGTGTAGCTGCAGTTGTTGGAGCCACATTGTCAGTGCTCCCCCTGTCTACCAAAGGCGGAGAAGGCAGCCAATCTTCATCACATGTAATTGGAACTGAAGCTAATGGCCGCGAGACTAAATCAGCAGCACCCGACACAAAAGGAAACACATCCTCTCTAAATACAACGTCACGTGAGATTAAGAACTCATTAGTAGTCATGTCATACACTTTCCACCCCTTTTGTCCAAACGGATAACCAACAAAGATGCATAAACGACTTCTTTCGCGAAACTTGTCTTTATCCCGTGTAACGCGGTGAGTATAACAAGCACACCCAAAGACGCGGAGCTGATCATAACTCGGCTTACTGCCATGAAGTATCTCGTAAGGAGAGAGGCCATTATGAATAGAAGACGGTATACGATTGATTAAATAAGCAGCCGTCAAAACTGCTTCACCCCAAAATTTAACAGGTAGATTCGCTTGAAACAACAACGCTCTAGAGACGTTGAGAATATGTCGATGCTTTCGTTCTACTCTACCATTTTGTTGTGGAGTCCCTACGCAAGAAGTCTGATGAATTATACCATGTTCTTTGAAATAAGACGAGAGGCACATAAATTCCGTCCCATTGTCGCTGCGAATATTTTCACAGATTTGCCAAACTGTTTTTCCGTGTAAGCCAAGAAGTTAGTGAGCACGCCACGCACTTCTGATTTTGCAAGTAAGATATACGTCCAAACGGTTCTTGAAAAGTCATCGACGATTGTTAAAAAATAAACTGCTCCACAGGATGAGGGCACGCGATAAGGTCCCCAAACGTCACAATGTATTAAAGAAAAACACTCTAATGTTTTATTAATACTATCGGAAAAAACTTCTCTTGTCTGTTTTGCTCTAAAACATACGTCACACGAACGAGAGCTAACAGCGGTAGAGGAACCCGTAAACAAAGGTAAATTGGAAAGTACTGAAAAACTTGGATGTTCAAACGTTGATGCCACAAAGCTTGATCGGAGGAGACGGCTACTGTATGAATCTTCGCCGTAGCCACATCCGTTAGATAATACACCCCATCACGTTCTTCCCCGTTTCCAATCAAAGTCCTCGAAAACCGGTCCTGTAAAACACAAATTGTATGAACAATGCTAAACACTTAGTCTGTTTTACTATTTTTGAAACAGAGATTAATGTGCAATTCAACGCAGGTACATAAAGAACATTAGTCAACTTGACTTTATCCGAAAGCGGGAACGCTCCCATGCTCACAGCGAACGTTTTACGTCCATCCGCAAATCCCACCGAACAAGGTGGTATAGTGACAATGTTAGTCAAGAAAGAAAGCTGCCCAGTCATATGGTGGGAAGCTTCGGTATCGAGAATAACATCGCCAAACTGTGCCTTACCAGACAATTTATCGGAGTTGGCACTATCTTTGTTTTGAATCATCTGTGTGATAACTTGCAATTGATCTGGTGTGAATTCTGGAAATGAGGAGAAGTTGGAAGTTGTAGCATGAGCTGCGGTGACTTGTCCCTTTCCACGACCAGAATTGGTGAAACCTGAGCCACGACCCCCTCGACCACGAACGCTGGATCCACGACCACTGCTATTGTTGTGCTCCATCCACCAGTCAGGAAATCCGACTATCTGCCAGCACTCTTTCTTTTCATGGCCACTACGACCACAGTATGAGAAAATAATGGAATGATCTCGAGACCTCACAATAGAAGTCTCTGTTTTTCCTTCCATGATATGCTCTGCAATTTGTTGATTGCTGTGAGTGACAAATCCAATTTCTGACTGTTGTTGTTCACGAACTTGAACTGATGCAAGCCTCTGTTCTTCTTTCACGACCCGAGAGTAGATTTCTCCAAGGGGCGGAAACGGATCCATTGCTATGAGGATTGCGGAGAGTCCTCCAAAGCGAGAATCGTCAAGTCCTATCACGAATTGATGAATCTTCTCTTCTTCCCTTTCTTTTGAAGGTTCAAGAGTAGCACCACAGGTACACAAACCACACTTACACACGGTAATAGGTTTGTAAATTTGGTATTCTTCCCAAAGTTTATACAAACGACCATAGTATTCAACAACAGGCTGTCCATCTTGCCGACACGAGGCAAGCTGAGCCTTGAGTTGATGAACACGAACTTTGTTTCCCACCGAGAAACGCTGCTTCAATTCCACCCACAGTTGATGAGCATCAGATATGAAGGTGACTGTTTATTTAACTTTCGGTTCAATGGAGGAACGAATCCATCCCACGATCATCGAATTGACTGCTGTCCAATTCTCATAATCCGGATCATCACATGGTGGTTTTGGAATCGAGCCATTGATAAATCCGGTCTTACGTTTGGCTTGAAGCGCATTCAACAACTCCGTGGACCATTCATTGAAATTGTCACTAGTTAACATAACTGATGAGATCATGGCCCCTGGATTGTCTGAGCTTGCAAGGGTATATGGTGACACCTTTGTTGTAGCTGATTGACCAACCGTGGATATTGATGCCGACGAGCCATCTTCTGTGAGGGACATGGTTGCTTGACATGCAAGAAACGAAGTTTGAAGAACAGAGGGACGAAACTATCGAAAGAGCAACAAAATTTTAGAGATTTTGTTGGATCTTATGCTCTGATACCATGTAGAATTAGGTAACAAACCAACTTACTTTATTCATTCACCAAACAATGGTATTTATACAAGAGAGCTCACGAGAGCTTTGATAACGAGATAAGCCTAAGATCCTAAAATACAAGACACAAACTCTATCACAAAATATATGGTCTAATCCTAATCAGATTATACACATATCCCCAATATCTATGCTTATATTATTGGTTTTGCGCAATGTTTTTAAACCCGACTCGGACGGTGAATCGGACTATTTTCTGGGTCATTGGATCACTGGATCAACCGGTTCGACCACAAGTTAATTGATTAAAATTTCTTAAACGTATATAATATTTATAGAGATTATATAGTTATATATATATAAAATAATAATAATTATATTATGTTAAACATAATATGAAATCTAACAATAACACAACTAGGTGGTTGTCCGCGCACATGCGCAGAAATTATTGTGTATAAAAGGTATTATGTTTAACATAATATGAAATCTAACAATAACAATAAATTGATTAAAATTGAACCGAAAAAAGAATGGAATAAGATTTTCTTAACAAAATAAAAATATGAAGTCTAACAAGATTTTTTCTTCAGACGAATCTCTCCCACGATTGTCTGAAGACAAGAGTCCACAAGACCAGAGATTCACCGTCGAGTCATAGTTCTTAAGGTTAGATGTACTTGCCCTTTATTTGATTTTTGTTCTTTTTTTTTGTGAAGTTTGTATGCGCACAAGGTGTTTGTTCATTTGCCTAAACGAAGTTGCTACCTATTTTTATAAAATTTGCTACCCATGGGATCTGTTTTATCTCCTTGTTCAAATTTTGTGTGAATGTGTGTAAAATACGCATAATCCAATGTGTCGTAACTAGAAGCTTCTCTTTAGGGTTTTGGGTTGTTAGGAAATGAATCTTATTCTTTCAAGTTTTGAATTTTGTTTTTGAGTTCATTGTTTGATACTTATCAGATTGAGGGTTTTTGTTTTTGATGCAGAGACTGATTGACATATGAATGGCGTCGAGGCACTTAGGCAAGAAGGTACTTTTCTTACTCTTTGCCTTCTTTCTTTAGTGAATTTTTCTGAGGAATTTCAGCGAAAAGCTTGTAGCTTTAGCTTCCATTTCGTACTATTTCCTGGTATTTTCCCAATATTTGCATAGCTTTTGTCGAAATTCTTGTGTTTCTCATGCTGTTTTTCTCTTTAAATTGGGTTTAGGCCAAAGTCTATCTTGCATTTTTTAAGTGAAGCAAATCTGCATATGCATGAATGTGACTAGACGTACGAGTATATGTTTATCCATGGATGAAATTGAAGTTATCGGATCATTGTTTAAGCTATTCGAGTTTCAAATTCTTGATTACAAATGAAGTGAAAATATTATTATGTATTCGTTTCGGTATATTTATGTCTGCATTTTTGTCCAGTTTGCTTGGTTTGGTGAGTGGTTGCACATTGTTTTGGCATACATATCAGCGTTTCGGCCGTTTTTTTAATTGTTGATTGGAAATGTAGTGAATTATTATGAAGCGTTTGTTTCATATAGCATAATTAACTCTTCATTTTCGTCTAGTTTGTTTGGTTTGGTGAGTAGTTACACAATGTTCGAGTTGCTTTGCATATGTGTCAGCATATCAGTCTCATTTTTATTAGTATTTCACATGTGTTATGGATGTCTCAAGTACCTTTACGTATTTGCAGGGCATTCAAGTCTCTTTTAGAATAGGTTTGGTTCTTCCACGAGTAGTAGTAGCATCTACAGAGAGGCAGATTTCCTCTACGGTTTCAAAAAGAGCTTCTGAAAGTGTCTCTTTTTCATTCGCTCGGTACATAAATGGTGGGTGTTAAAAGAGTGTTCACTTCACTCACAGGCGATTACAATTTTTCTTCTGCCTTTTTAGAGAATGAATTAGAATAATGAGTATCTCATCCTTTTATTCATGTTTAGGGTTTGGTTTTAGTTCGCTATCAAATTGGTCTCGTAGTCATGAATCTTTCCCTACTGGAACATCCATAAGGTAAACCATTCGCCTAGACTTTTCTGTCATTTCTTTTTAAATTTGCTCCTCAGAGTATCTAGTTGAATGTTCACTCGTTTGGGTTAAGTTGTTTTTGGAACAGGTATTTTCATGCGAGTCGAGAAACATTGGCGAAAAGAAAAGAGGATGCTGATCGACTGCTGAGTCATCGTGAACGCAAGAAACAGACTGTGAAAACGAAAGGAAAGTTCTCTAAACGGGAGAAAAAACCGGATAAGCCACCTGTTGAAGCTCCTTATGTGCCTCCTAGGCTGAAAAGATTGGCAAAGGGATTGCCTGAGAAGACGGTCGACATATTTGAAGGGATGACACTACTTGAGCTCTCCAGGCGTACTGGTGAGTCAGTGGCGGTTTTGCAGAGCATTCTCATCAATGTTGGTGAAACTTTTAGTTCAGAATTTGACACAATCAGTGTTGATGTCGCCGAGCTTCTTGCAATGGTAAGGTGATTCTACCTCTAGTTCCAAGATAATGGATTTCATAGGTCATTTAACTTGGTTATTAATTGGATATGATAAACTTAAGGTTTTCCAGTTTATCAGATATCGAAATAGCATAACCATTTTACCAAATTGAGATTTTTTGGTTTCTGGATTGGTTTCTTTTAGTTCAGATCAGTTTATCTGGATTGAATATCAATACCCAGTAAAGATGTCATTAGTTTTAACCATAGTAGGATTTTGGTTCGGTTTAAGAATTTGTTATCCCGGTTGTGAATTGCAACAGATTGGTCCTCCAGATATTAATATAATTCTGTTTGTGTTTTCTCATCCTTTGCAGGAAATCGGGATCAACGTAAGGAGGCAACATTCTACAGAAGGATCTGAAATTCTTCCACGGCCTCCAGTTGTAACCGTAATGGGCCATGTCGATCATGGAAAAACCTTGTTGTTGGATGCATTAAGAAACACCTCTGTTGCGGCAAGAGAAGCTGGTGGAATCACTCAGCACGTGGGTGCTTTCGTGGTGGGCATGCCGGATTCTGGCACTTCAATCACATTCCTCGACACACCTGGCCATGCTGCTTTCAGCGAGATGCGAGCTCGGGGAGCCGCCGTGACTGATATAGTTGTCTTGGTGGTTGCTGCTGATGATGGGGTAATGCCGCAGACACTCGAGGCTATTGCCCACGCTAGATCAGCGAATGTCCCGATTGTGGTTGCGATCAATAAATGCGATAAACCAGGAGCTAATCCGGAAAAAGTTTAGTACCAGCTCACGTCTGAGGGGATAGAGCTCGAGGATATTGGAGGAAATGTTCAGGTGAGAGTTTTACTTGTCTCTGAGCTTTGTTACTTTATATCGGCATCCTTCAGAAATTGATATGGTTTGGTTCGGTTTAATATGGTTTTTGTTTCCATTTGGACTCGGTTTGTTAAAATTCTTTTTGAAGGAGAAGCTGCGGTTTTTGTCAGTTTATTCTTTTTTTATCATTTGTGTGGTTTATAAAAGAAACTGAATCGGTTTATTTGCTCATCTGTTTGGTTAGGCAACCCTGGTTTCAACTTTGAAATTTTGTTTTGTTTTGAGTTACTTTAACCATGGCGATTTGACTTGTTGTTTCAGGCTGTTGAGGTATCTGCAGCGAAGAGTACAGGGCTAGACAAATTAGAAGAAGCTCTGCTTCTCCAAGCCGTGGATATGGACCTCAAAGCACGTGTGGATGGACCAGCTCAAGCATATGTGGTGGAGGCTCGGCTTGACAAAGGCCGTGGACCGTTAGCCACCATTATTGTAAAAGCCGGAACCTTGGTGAGGGGTCAGCACGTAGTCATCGGGTCTCAGTGGGGAAGACTTAGGGCTATTCGGACATGATTGGTAAGAAAACGGACCGAGCAACACCAGCGATGCCCGTCGAGATTGAAGGGCTTAAAGGTCTTCCAATGGCTGGCGACGATGTCATTGTGGTGGAATCAGAGGAACGCGCGAGGATGCTGAGCGAAGGGCGAAAAAGGAAATATGAAAAAGATCGGTTGTTGAAAGCAGAGGAAGCGAGAATAGAGGAAGCAGCAGCGAGAATGGAAACAGAGTCTGAAGAAGGGTTTGTTCGGGTTGAATTACCGATAATAGTGAAATCGGATGTGCAAGGGACTGCACAGGCTGTTGCTGATGCGTTAAGAACATTAAATAGCCCACAGGTGCGTAAAACCGAAATGTTGGTGTAATGTGATTGTGCCTTATTGGCTTTCTTCTTTATATTTGCCTATTGTTTATATTGGATAGGTATTTGTGAACATTGTTCATAGCGGAGTGGGAGCAATTTCTCACTCTGATTTGGACTTGGCACAAGCTTGTGGTGCGTGTATCGTTGCGTTTAACGTTAAGGGTGGAAGTTCTGCTAATCTTTCTGCAGCTCAAGCCAGCGTCAAGGTACTCCGTTCTGTTCCAAAGAATCGTTTCATATCTAGCTTTGATAATTTCCAATGCCAACTTCTACGTCTGTTTTCACATTCATATATCGTGGCTAGAGCTTTAACATTGTAACCAATGGTGATCTTTTAGGTTTTCCATCACCGAGTGATATACCATTTACTCGAAGACATCGGGAACTTGATCGTAGAGAAAGCACCAGGAGTTTCGGAGATGGAGGTGTCTGGTGAAGCCGAGGTACTTAGCATTTTCAAAATCTTAGGAAAGAGAAGAACCGAAGAAGATGGAGTAAGCATTGCAGGTTGCAAAGTGATGGATGGTCGGGTATGTAGAAGTGGACTCATGAGGCTGTTGCGAAGCGGAGAAGTGGTCTTTGAAGGCTCGTGCGCGTCGCTGAAACGGGAGAAACAAGACGTGGAACAGGTAGGAAAAGGGAACGAGTGTGGACTTGTGATGGGAGATTGGAACGATTTTAGAGTCGGAGATGTGATTCAGTGCATGGAGCCAGTCATTAGAAAACCTAAATTCATTTCTTCTGAGAGTGGAGCTGTGAGAATTGAATGCTGAGATCTACTAAACCCTAAACTCCTAAATCAATTAAATCTGATTGTTTAGGATATTGATTTTTGCCTTTTGGGTATTACCCTGATGATTATTTATTTTGTTACAAAAATTGTCTTATTATGTAAACAAAACAAGAAAAAAAGTCATAGGTAATAAAGTTTTGTAACTTTGTTTTACACATTTAATGATATTAGAAACCCTAAATAGTATAATCAATTTTTTTTGGGAAAATTAGATATAAAGGATATCTACTACAATTTTTGTCCATATATACCTTATTTTTGTAGATTGGTCAAATAGGTTTTTTAAAATTAAAAACTCCAATTTACCCTCATTTTCTCTCAAATTTTATTAAAAAATAAAATTTTTATGGCATCTCTACAAGGAAGTTTGCCTATATCATATAAATGTTAGACCTAAAGAGGCAATCGTTATCATACTTAGTGCTTACAATTAAAAAACTATCTCTTGATATTTGATAATAATGATGATACAACTTGACCAAAGCTTTAGACCGTGTAGTTTCTCCGATTGTGTTGTGGTCGAAACCCTCTTCCCGAAGAGCATTCTGTCGTTGTTTGGAGACTTGATCCTTCGGTGGTGTCTTGGCCGTAGGTGGTTGTCGGAGGTATTTCTAGATGTATATGTGTTCATTTGATCAGTCATAACTTTTGCTATGATACTACGTTTGACCTGAAAGCACCACCGTTGGAAAGCTAATTGAATTCCCTATGACTTTCATCAAGGGCTCCGAAGCTAAATCGCAGGGTAAATTCTTCATATGGTGTGATCTTTTAAATACTTCAAATTGATCATGAATAACCATATCTCTTGCTTTCCCCTTCATTTTCTTTTGGTCATTGCTTGTTCTTTTAAGTACCAAATCTCCTCTACAAGCTCTCTTTTTCATGGTTCTCACTCCAACAATTAATATGTATGAACTTTATGCAAATGCAATCCTAAACGAATGCTATGAAAATGCTAGACTTTAAGATAAATCAAGACTTGAAACATTCAAAATCACATGATATCAGTCATAAAGACTCAACTATTAGAATTGCCATGAAGTTTGATTTATATATAAATGTTGGACCTAAAGAGGCAATCGTTATCCTATACTTACAATAAAACTTTCCTTGTAGATCTTGTAGATCGTAATCTAAACAATAAATATCCATTTAAATCGTAATCTAAAAAATATTTTGTTTCTTTTTTTGAAGATTTACTTTCTATATTTAGAGCATTCTAAAACTTACAGAAATCGAAATCTGCAATATCGTAGAATTTACATTCTAAACGAAGATTACAATTTCTAACGATGGCAGAAGATGTAGAAATTATTAGAACGGCTATTCTAAAATATTTAGAACATAGAAGAAAATGTAGAATGCATGTTCTAAATATTTTAGATATATGATTTTCAGATTTCTAAAATTCTCAGAACAGAAATCTAGTCTGAAATATGTAGAACATGTACAAAAAGGCAGAATACACATTCTGAGTTTCGCAGTGTTCTAGAAAACGTGCTCTACCAAAATTAGATGAAACTTTATCTATAAAAAAATCAACTTTTTTTAAACCAAATCTAAAAAATTCCACTTCAAATCACCTCTACTCTTGTATATCTACCTGTTTTTATGATTATTTTTTTAAAAAAACATTTAAATTATGGTGTAGGGGTAAAATCGTCCAAACTGACAATCTCACAAAAAAGGTGTATATGGACAAATTTTTAAGTAGATATCCTTTATTTCCAATTTTCCCATTTTTTTATTTCTTTCTCTCTAATGACACAATTTTTTTCTTTGTTTCCCAGATGTTCAATTAACTATGACTCACGTCCTATATTATCATGTTCGTTTAATAATCGCAAGATGTTGTTCGTTTAGCAATCGCTGCGACTAATCGCCATTTAAAAAATCGCATCGCTAATTGCGACTGATCGCGCGATTAGTCGCAGGATCCTACGACTGTCAAACGAACAACTTTCAGTCGCAGTCGCAGTCGCATGCCTCCTACGAATGCCAAACGAACATCACATATCTACCCGAATCCATAGTTCTCTTATTAAACCTCCCTGAAATCAATAGTTCTCACCTATTTCAGTTTTTTTTTTTCACGATTTGTTCTTTTTTTTTGTTAATCTTGTTAATTAAACATATGTATGACAAATCTATGACTCAATATTTGATTTAATTTGTTAGTTAAACATCTAGGGAGCGATTTGATTTCTATTTACCCATCAATTTGTGAAAAATGAAAATAGATGTTTGAATTTGAGAAGAAATGTTTTTTTTTTTTTTTTAATGTGTTAGTGGCATAAATGTAAATATGTGAAGATTTGGAGGATATCATTGTCTCCTAAACAGTGAAAACTACCCAAAAACTAAACCCTAATCAAAACTATCCATTTTGTTAAATACAAACAAAAAAACTATCCACCCAGTTAAAATTCCCAATTATAAATTAGACAATAAATTTAGTTTTGATGTAGCTGGTCGGGAGCAGCAACGTTAAAACGACCAACCGCGCAAAGGAAGATGCAGCAGTAATAGACATGACCAACTGCAATAATCAAAAGAAAAAATATTCATGAATTGATGACGGAAACAAGAGCAAGTTACTTTATCCCCTAAGAATCAATAACCACTCTTTTTTTTTTTTACTACTTACCTTATTCCTTTAACAAAAGCTTAATCTCGGAAACCTAGCAACTGGGTGCACCTCAGGCTCATCAGGTAGATCCATACGAGCAGAAGTTTCACTCATACAACGCTCACACCCGTGATAGATTTTACCTAAGTGTCTCTCTTGAGCCAACGTGACCACAAGCGGTATTCCTTCCAATTCAGAATAATGCAATTTCAACGCCTTCTCAACGCCCTGGCCATTTTTCAGATTAATGAAAGCGAATCTGTACGCCAAAAAAAAAGAAGCATAGTCATTAGTTTATTACATTGAACTTGTTCGAGTTGTCACAAAGTTGGAGAGGAACAAGTGACCAAACCCCATGGGAAAACCGGTTTTGTAATTTATGGGAACAGTAAGCGTTGTGATCTCTCCACATGAACCGAATAAATCACGAAACATATTCTTCACTTGATCCTGAGGAAGACGCAAACTTTCAAACCCCATAACCAAAATGGTTTGCTTATTGTGATAAACCCCCACTTTTTGACAATCAATACAGCTATTCTTCGGAATATGTTGTATTCAAAACAGAATTAAAACAGGGATAAAAAGTAATGTATCAAAATTCTCACAGCTAACATAAGTTAATAGTAAACACTCATACAATATATATTTAAAAATATACGAAACGTATACCAAAGAACATCCCGGATGCGTCATCTCTTCCTCCTCGTTTTCCTCTGGGGTTGTTTCTCTGTCCTGTAGACAAAGCGTAGTTAGTGCTGGCTCATACATTTCAGATTCCCTCGATCGGGCAAATTTTAAAAATATGGCCTTTAACAAATTTATACGATATGCCCTTTGGTTTAATAAAAAAAATTCTCAAACCTACAAAACAAATATAACAGCTACAAACAAACAAACATAGACCTAGTAAACACTAATACAATATATATTTGAAGTAAACAAGAGGAAACATATACCTTTAACATGGTTAATAGAATTTCCGGTAGTTTTTTTACAGCTTCGGTCAGTTCTTTAATAGATCTCGACAATTCAATGATTTCCTGCCATTGGAATAAGAGTAAATGATTAAGACAACCATGACAAACAACTAAAACTCTACTTTGGGAACAGCTGAGGCATATTAAATTGCAATAAATGTTTTATAGCAAAGTTTTCTTCAATAATTAGTATTTTAATAAGGCTTAGTTACAAACTGTCCACTGTAACATTTATCAAAACTTTTGTCTAAAAGACTTATTAGACTACGAAATCAACTACAGCTTTTAATATTATCGTTGTACTGTATATGTTATTTTATATCTTGAATTTTTAATTTAGAACATAATTAATAATACTATTCGGTGCTTATTTGATTAAATCACTAAGTAGTAGAATAAACTGTAGATACTTACATTTTTCTGATCAATTTTTTCATCTTCATCAATTTTCTACAAAAACAAACCACCAGTTATTGTAAAAAAAAAAAAAACATGAGTAGCATAACAAAGAATAGATAAAAACAAAGCTTACATTCTTAGACTTTTGCTTCATAGTTGTGCACTTCCTTATTTTCTTAGATCCATCGGCATGATCTTCACTATCAGATCCGTGGTTTCTCTTTATGGACTTATCCTGTGTAGAAACCGTCAAATTTAGGATTATAGAGAAAGAGTTTTGAGGAAGGAAAAAAATCAAAACAAGATCATAAACTGTAAATCTTTTCCATAATGTCATAAAACATTTTAAAAAAAAAACCTTACATTTTTAGATCCAGCAGATTCATCAGATTTAGGATTATGCGGCTCCATTGTAAAAAGTCTTACATTTTTAGGATTAGAAGATGGGTACACTGGTCTCTGTGAGAACGCTGCATATGCACTTAAAATTAAATGAGAAGAGAACTTTGGGTTCAGTTGGTTTAAGGTTTTATGATTGTGCTTAAGAATAAATAAAGAAACGCTAACCTGATGAGACATAGGGTTTGGGCAAAACACATTGCCCTTTGCCATATTCAAGGGCTGGCCACAGGATTCTCTCAGCTTTTGGAAGACGGATCTCAACTCTGGTTGACAATACTTCATATCTACACTTCTCTGGTATTATCTGAATAGTACACATGAAGACGGATTTAGTAAAAGTGTGCATGAAAACACCGTAATTTCATATGTCAAATAAAATATACCTTCCCGAACAATCTCGCCTGGAGATGATAAGTTTTCTCTCCGGCAACATCAATGACAACACTCAGCTGCACCAAAAAAAAAAGCCAAGCAAATCAAATACAGAATGTTAGACTATAAAGAGAGCTAGATAGATTCTAAGGTTCAGATACTCACAATCTGCTCACCAAACTTGACAGATACATTCTCCTTTGGTATTCCTTTGGCGTAAATTGCCACCACAGCTTCTTCTCGTTTCTGGTAGAACTCGTGTCTGTTGAGCCATCAAGTTATATGAGTATATAGTGACTCTGGAAATTAAACAAGAATTTCTATTTTCGATAACTAGACTACATGAACATCGGCTCGGCAGGTGCTGCAGGAGTTGGAGCTGGTGGAAGCAAACCTGGTGGCACTAGTTGAACAAGGATATAAAGACTATATCAAAAATCAAAGCCTAGGTGCAGAAAAATATTGAGAATCGTTTAATACTTTTTTCCGTAACCTATGGAGTTTATGTAATATACCTGCAATGCGAAGATCACATTCATCTATCATCTTCTTAAATTTTGGTTCATTCGGTGCAACAGAAGCGCCCTTTTCCAGGGCTGCTTTAGCAGTACGATATTCTTCTAGCTTCATACAAGCAGTGCTGCGAATAAATAAAAGTATCAGAAAATACAATTATGATTCCAATCAAATCATCATTAAACTTAAATACAGAGAGAAGATGACAATAACATACCCCTTTCTGAGGTAGGCTTTTGCCAATGTTGGTTGTAACTCAATGGCTTTGTTCGCGTCTGCAACAGCTTCTGCTCATGGAAAACCACAAACGATAAAACATCACATCATCAAAAAAAATTCAACCAAAGTACTGAGGAGGAATAAGCAAAACAGTAGCAACTGGTTTAGCTTGATAAAGAAGCAACTCCAAAGTTCAAGTTCATAGATCAGTGACTACTCAGAATAACAAAGCAAATAAAAAAAGGAAGACAACAGAGAAGCAAATCCAGTAAACAATAAGGTCAACGAACACACAATCCGTAAACTACAAGAAAACAAGGTTGAGATCAATTCGTTTCCTAATGATAAGCAAAAGATACACATACCAACATCAAATCAATGCCAAATTCACATGAAACAAAGCAATCCCTAAAATAAGTTTTCTTATCCGAATAAGGTAACAACACAACCTCACAAAAGAAACCCTAAAACTATAACCTCATATCGCCTTTAACGATGATTTTAGGGTAAGGAAGAGAGTTTAAACCAGTGAAGTTATCGAGTTTGATGTTGGCCTGAGCACGATCGGCGAAGAAGGCTGCGCAATTGGGATCCAACTCAATGGCTTTGGAGTATAAGTCAACAGCAACATCGAAGTCATCTTCTAAATAAGCTTTTTTAGCTTTCTCTGCAAATTCCTTCGCCATTGATTCTTATCAGAGAATTTGAGAGAACACGCACAAGTCAGAAGAGAGAGATTATAGAGAACGAGACTGATTCTGTTACTCTTAAGCTTTTTTTTTTTTTGTGTTTCAGATTTTTTCCCTTTGAGTTGGAACGTTTTAATACTGTTTGTTTCTAGGAGACGAGAGAGATAGATAGATAGAGAGAAAGAGAATTTTGGAGTGGCAAAAAAAAAAAACGGCTGCTAGGTTTTTAATTTTTATTAGATTTTTGTGGGCTTGGGCTTGGGTTTATATAGCTGGTTTTTATGGGTCAGCCAACAATAGCCCATTTTTTTAAAGAGAGGATAAATAAAACAAAGCAAAAGCTTAGGGATTTGAAGATAAGAAGCAGCGATACAAGATGATGCTTCAACTCTGCTCCACGTTTCGTCCTCAACTTCTTCTTCCTCCTCGTCAATTCCGGTTTACAGATGCAATCTTCATTCGGTTAGTAGTAATGAACATCACTGTTTTTTTCTTACAAGACTCGAGTTAGTTCCTTCAATTACACAGTTGCTTTGGTTTCGAAATCCCCAATAGTGTTTTTACTAATTTGGGTTATAACGAAATTGGTTTCGAGTGTTTTATGAATCAAAATCGATTCTTTTGATTGGTTTGATGATTGCTTAGGATCTTTATGTCAACATTTCAAAGTCGAAATCTTTCAGAATTCCCAAAAAAAACACCAATCTTTCAGCTAACTGCTTTGTTTAATTTTCGTTTTCCTTTGTAAGCAGACAAATAAACTTTGTTGGAAGCAATTCAGTTGTGAATATCCGGCCAGTGATACGATGCCAGAGAGCGAGTGGAGGACGAGGAGCTAACAGAAGCAAACCTGCAAAGCCTCCTGTTAAAGAAGGGAGTAACAAAACAGTAATCGAAGGTTTAGTAACCGAATCACTACCTAATGGAATGTTTAGAGTCGATTTGGAGAATGGTGATAACATTCTTGGTTATATTTGTGGTAAGATTAGGAAGAATTTCATTCGGATACTTCCCGGTGATAAAGTGAAAGTCGAAATGAGTGTTTATGATTCTACTAAAGGTCGTATCATTTTCAGAATGAGTAGTAGAGACTAAGAAGTAAGAAGAACCGTTTAGGCAAGTTTGATGGGAATGAATCATGTAATGGTACAGAAGGTTTTCTATAATGTAATTCAGGTTTTTCCGCTAAGCGCGGTTTTATGTTCTTCTTCTTCTTTTCCTATAATCTTAAGCATATTGAACGTTTCGGCCTGTCTGTTTTCGTGTACTCTGCACCATGGTAATTAGGTTTTTTTATCGGTGAAGCGAATCTAGATTTTTGATACTCTTGTTGTCTTTGCGGTTTCCTAACCAGAGGCCGTTGTAAAACGCCTCTTGCGAACGACATGTATGTACCTAAAGCTTTGTTTCAGTTCCTTTTAAGCTAGCTCCATTCATATTTTCAGGTTAAAAGGGTTTGAAAATATCATTAACATCACACTTCAATACGAGTTAATTCCTCATTTTACTATTTTTTAACACCACCAATATTTGATTTTATAAAACAAAAATTGTCTTGTAGCAGGTCAAATACTATTGCAAGATGAACTTTTTGTTTAGTTTTCTATCATTCTATGTTCTCACTTCTCAAACATTCGAAGACCCTACGACATAAAAAGCTTAACACGTCAAGGTAAAACGTAGGTTAAATAAGGTTTTTATTATTATGAAATCAAAAGCCGACCTTAGCTCAGTTGGTAGAGCGGAAGACTGTAGTAGTTGCTGTAATCTTTAGGTCGCTGGTTCGATTCCGGCAGGTCGGAATTCTTTTTTGTTAAAGAACTTTTTGTTGATTTTTTTCCCACTTTTGGGCTTTTATTCTTTTCCCGAGTTTAGCCCTAACTTGTGAGTAGGGCCCAAAAATATTAACATTGCGGTTCAAAATTGTGTCGTCCCTTTATTTATAGCTCAGCTTTCTTGTTTGGGTGGTAATTAGAGATTAGTTACTCATTGCAATTCTAAAGTGGATTCTTTGTGGTGGATCTCATTCCATTTACAGGCTTTCTTCTCCTAGAATACTTAACATGAACAAGTTTTTGTCGTTACCAAAACAAAAACAAAAAGGTTTTGTGTTGTGTTGTGTTATCTTTAGCTCACACCAAACTAGTTGTCTTACATTTAAACCAATAGAGATAACCATTTCATGGGACGGGTAAGTAGTCCATTCTTTAGCTTTTGTACTTTGTGTTTTCTTAATCAACTAATTGTTAAGTGTAATGTAGGAAAGAAATGTATCCATTGTTACTTATATATTCTTAAGAGGGAATGAAATGGCTTCGAGTAAATAAAAGTAATACGAATGATAGTTGAACCATCAATCATTATTGAGTCCTAAAATCTTAAAATTCTATGTTAATTCAGGGATTTTGGCAATATAAGCTGGTAAAAAAAGACAAATATCAATATTATGTTCGTCTCTTAAACCCACTTATATATACCAAAAGAAAAAAATGAAATATGTATAAATAAAGGTTTCCGAATCCCTTTTTAGTCTTCATATCAATACTACTCATTTCTACTTAACACTCTAACAATGGTAAATCAAATCTACAAACATGTATTTTCCTTCTTCTTATCCGTTTTACTTCTCCAATCCAGTACTGTCTCATACGTCCGAAAGTCATTCGACCTAAACAAACCATGCAGGCATTTCGTACTTTACCTCCATAACATCGCCTACGATGATGATAACGCGGCTAATGCCACAGCAGCAACAATTGTGAACCCTTTGGGACTAGGGGATTATAGTTTCGGGAGAGTAATTATATGTGACAACCCTGTGACAATGGACCAGAACTATCTCTCGAAACCAGTGGCTCGTGCCCAAGGATTCTACTTCTACAACAAGAAGACGAATTTCAACACTTGGGTTGCTTGGACATTGGTATTCAATTCGACAAAGCACAAAGGGACATTTACCATAATGGATGCAAATCCTTATGGTATGGAGCCGACCAGAGACCTAGCGATCGTAGGTGGGACTGGTGACTTCCTCATGACTCGTGGGATCGCGACGTTGAAGACCAAACTCTCTCAAGGCAGTAAGTATTTTTGTTTGGAAATGAATATTAAACTTTATGAATGTTACTAATATGTGTCTTGGGATTGATGTTTGTGTGTTGGCATTTTATTTTCTTTCTTTGTTTTAGTTGATGTTGTTCCAAATTTCAATAAATGGTATCCTATACTATTATTTGGGGAGTACACTTTATAAGAAACCCTTAACTAACCTTCTCTTTTGTAAAAAATTACATGAGAATGCCATTACAAATTTTTTTTTGTAGAACAAATTTATTCAATTTCTTAAGGATAAACAAGTAAAATACTAATTTCTGTCATTTAATTAATTTAATTAAATTATAAAACGAAAATCTGTTATTAATTTTATTTAAATGACCAATCAAAATGAATATATAAGATTTGATATCTAACTTACCATATTAATTTGTTATTAATCATTAAACTTCACCTCTCATCTTTATATGATTATATTTATATGAAACAAATAAATTATCATATCATCTATATAATTAAAAAAAAGTAATTTTTTTTCTGCATATGCCAAGATTTGAATTTTTAAAAACGCATATAAATTGTTCAATTTATAAAGAAAACAATTAAACGGGTCAAAAATTCAGACTTGAGTAATATATTTCTTTTACACAAAAATAAATGCAACAAAAATTTCGACTGAGCAACGGGTCAGAATTTGAATATTTATATTCGATTTCATACATTTATTTTTTGAAATGTATAATTTTATATACTTCAATAAAAAATTAAATATTTTAATTTGCAACATTTAAAATAAGTTTTACTTGATATTTTTAGAGAATATCATCAATACTTAATAGTTCAAAAAGTTCAAAGTTATAAATACTCTAATTTGATTATTTTTAAAAATAATTATAATAGGTAGCGGGTTAAATATAATATATTATATGATGAAATGAGTTTTGATCCTTATAACTATTTGAATAGTTATATTTAATTTCATATAATTTGTTTTTTGAAATTCAAAATTTATAAACTACAAAAAAAATTTAAAGATTTTAATTCGGAATATTTAAAAATAGTGTAGAACATTTAAATATGGTTTGACACCTCTAAATATTTGAAAATTTGATTCCGCAAGCAATTTTAGAATTAACGAATAATAGATTGTGCACGCAATATTTTAAAATAAAATATTGAGATTCTAAAATAAAAATATAGACTCCACGCACAGGTTGATTTTGGTATTATTATATACTAAATATATGTTTATAACATATTCGATTATGCAAATAATTGGTAAATTCCGTAATTATAAATCTCAAACAAATTCTGTAATTAGATTAGCTCAAACAAATCTCTATTTCAACAACCAAAGAATTATAAATTGAAATTTTTTTCTTCTAAATTAGTTCAAAATAATAGCTAATTTCTTAATTAATTCAAAATAATCTATGTTTTATATGCGATTCATTTATGATATTTTAATTCTAACTAAAATATATGCAATCCTATTTTGTGGTTGTTAACATAAATTAACTCATTGTTCAAAAAATATTACTTTTTAAAAAATAAAACTATTTTCCATTTTCATATCTTAAAAAAAAAATTATCCATAATTGAGTATTATAGAAAAAAATCTATATTTATTCTAATATTGTATATAGGGACTGACAAAAAAATTAATATTTTCTTACTTTGTATTAAAACTTAGTTCTAATATATATATTATTTAAATTTTGTAATAAATAAAATTTAACCCGTACTTTAGTACGGGTGATGATCTAGTTGAAATATTTATGTTTGTAACGAGTTAATAAATAATAAAACAGTCCTTTGTTATATAGTTTTAAACATGCATCTATTAGATCTTTTATGTAAAACGACAAATCGTTTGGTATATACTCTAGGAATCCGAAGCTTTCCAGTGTTATCGATTGAAGAAAACCCAAATCGTTTTACTGTAAGTGTTACAAAAATGTAATATAAATTTGT